TGAAATGGAAAGCCGAAAGGGAGAGTTGATAGGTGTGGATAATTGACAAGTGATTCCCGCTGAAGGACGTGCGAATGAGAAAAGAAAAAAAAGCGAAAATCAAAAACCGGAGGAAAACTACCGGCTACAGGTCTTCCGCTGAGGAAAAAATCATTGAAAATGAGTTTGATGAGAAGAAAAAACTCCTACTTGAAAAGAGTAATCAAGTAGTAAGTCAGTCCAGATCAGCTCATAGGAACCTTGTAAATCCATAGGAAACTGGTGATGTTTCATAAGTTAGCCTGCCTCAAATTTACCTTCCAACGGAATCACTGTAAAGGTACCGCATGGGCGGAGCTTAATTCCACCTGGTAAGGTTCTACAATTGGTTTCCTTCTGCATACTAAAGTTTTCGCAACTGCATAAAATCAAAAATAATTAGGTTTTTTTCTACAATCAAACAATATCTCGTGTTTTTCACCTCCACTACGGGATACGCCGTGTGTCTGCCTATCATCTGTAGCTGCTGAGGCGTTTAAATGTGTACTTAGATAACGGACGAGACCACTACAGTCAACCGCTAGATACCCCTTGCTACTACCATCTTTCGGATGCGTCTGGAGGCAGACCTCGAAGGAGACGGGTTGCCTGGGTTATTTTCTCTGAAGAGCCACCCTCAGCTCTTTGTTTGATGCTCAATACTGAGTTTTGTTACCATTTTCGGTAGTTCACAGAACATTTGGGAAGAAAAGGGAAAGGAAACGAAAATGAAAAAGGGAAGGAAACAGCATGGGAAGACTGTTGCCAGAGAGCGGATAAGCTTAAAAGAAGAAAAACTGAGTAGCAGCATTTGACCAATACCGTTGCTATGCAGTGTATACATGGAATTGGACGAGTTGCCATAAATAGAATTCTGCACAAGTTATCCCGTCTGGACACCATAGACGCCCATTCCTGGGGAAAGTCTATCAAGCACTCCATTCCGGACAAGTTTTGCCTCTAGAGACATGGAGGAAACGAAAACTCGTTTTGTTAGTGCTAAGACCAAAGCAAATGCCAACCAAAAAACTTCCGGAAACTCGTCCAAGAAGCTGGGAGAAAAAAGAAAGAAGAAATGACGACAAATGAGTCTTCGCTTTCTAAACGAACTCTCCAGGGTTTCACCAGAGGAGGGGTAAGGGAGAAGGGTGGGGGAGAGGCGCTGAGAGTTCCATGGCCCAGGTATTTAATGGGAAGGAAATGAGACCGAACAGTTTGTAGGAGGTTCTTGAATAACTTCCAACTTTCACTAATCTGGGAGAACTATCTACCTTAAAAGGGCATAATGAGTACAAGCCGGAATTCACGTGAGAAGTATATGGATGCACTTCAGTGCATGAAGACCGCCTTACTGGAAAAACTACATATTTCATCCACACTCATAATAAATGACAAGAAATCGTACTAAAGCCAGCTACCACCTCTCAGTGGTCCAAAATTAGTTCCTTTTCATCGGCTCAAGCAGCAGCAGCAGCAAAGGATCGACAACAATTGTTGACGCCGTCGGCCCCTTTTGGTGAAAGCTTTGTTTTGACTGGAAACCAATAAGCAGCACTATAGAAGCCGCTGCTACCTGAGCTGTCAAAATCACCTTGGCAACAACAATCGACTAGGATTTCAAACGTAAAGAAAGGCCAACACAAATTCCAGCAGAGCCCGATTTGGCTGAGTTTGTCAGCCCGCCTCTTGGCGGCCTGGTTTGAGTTCAAGGTTGTGTCCTCTGCAGGGGGTCGTAATCCGGTTCCGAGTCGTCAATGGTCCAGTGCCCGCAATCGCAGTGAAACTGGTAAAATCGGAAGAAGAACGAAAATAAATGCTAATTAATTTTGATGAGCAGTAAAGGTACAGGCCGGATGCCGGAAATCGGAAATCGGAATCATTTTGTACTTCCCGTTTGGACCAGACAACGAACCATGCCGAAAGTAGGGAGAAAATAAAACAAAAATGTTGCAAAAATGTTGAAGTAAGTTTCTAAAACTTGAAATATTCACTAAAAGCAAACAGCGGGGTCGGAAAAAGTGCCCAGCAGCCTTCATTCAGGGCGCCAGATATAATTTTAGGCCAAGTCTATTTGTAGAGTCTAAGGGCATTCTCGTCATCCAAAAACTTCATTAGCAATTAGATAGATTTTCGTATTCAATGTGATGAGGAAATCCGGGAAAAGAAGCTACGAACGTTCCCATCCTACAGCATTTTAATCAAAAATTTGGTAAAAACTGCTCTGTAACGACAAACAGGGCGAAGGCAGTGTGAAGGCAAAAGGCGCATATCACACACGCGTGCTTCTTGGTTCAAATCCCGGATATATGCCTAAACGAACCTAGCCTTCCATCTCATTAGGGTCAGCTAATCGACACAGGACTTGTCTGGGACGATAAAATTAATAGCTTGTGCATGACCTGGCCCAAACCATTGCATTGGCCACCTGAAGGAGCCACTAACACTGTGAATATGTAGAATTCGAATGCGGGGCGCATCCCAGAAGAGAAAAGCTTTATCGTTCGTCATCTCTGCTCTGCTCTAAGGCAGCTGAAATAGTATAGGAGAAAAGAAGAACCGAGTGACAGGAGACAAAGAAGAAATGGGGGAAACATCTTGGAGAGTCCCTCTATCACTCCTGGTACCCATCCGAATCGGATAGAGCTCTAAGACATAGGAAAGTTCTATTGTACTGTCGAGAGGAGCAGTGCCTTCTCTAGCAGTCTGTCCTAGAACTTATGTAGGGCCGTACTTGGCCCAGATGGTTTTCCATGTATCAAGGTTAGCCGGTATCAACCAAATTTTTTGCGATCAACTTTGACAGAGGCTCCGAATGTGTTCTGCCCCTGAAGAAACCTGACGTGCTGCTTTGAAATACCCTCACCTCTCTATCCCCACGTTACCGCTGAGGAATCAGTGTAGGCGGCCAACCACATTTTTTGTTTTTGTATATTTTTTATCTGACTTTCTTTCCATCGTTCCTAGAGAGTGGAATTTCCACCCAAGTGAGCTTCAACAATTACACTCCGCACTACATAAAGAGGCTTTTCGGGTCCATTAATTCTAAATGGTCTGAGAATGATCTATTGTTATTAGGCATAGTACTTTACGGAACCTCACGCCCCATTATCACAGTAGATTTATGGAGAGCCCCGAATCTCCTCATTGCCCAGTTTGGCAAGCTGCCCAATTTCGTTCCGTGAAAAGGGAAACTGGAAAGTCTAGCGTTTGATAAGTCATACTGGCCGTTTTGGGGCAAGAGGGTTAATACCATAAGTGGATTGTCCCACAATCCCACAGTTCCGTTGAGACCATCTGCCTATACGGCCCTCTCAGGGTTACGGTAGCGGTCATGAAACGAAAAGTGTGGTTTAGGAAAGTAGAACAATCTAATGAAGGAAGGAGAGACTGAAATTGGCTCGGCTACTTTACCAGCGGCCGACGGACGTTGGTGTCGGAAATGGCCGCAATTGTACCCCATAATAGCTGAGACATAATAGCTCAATAACACCTACCTATGTACCTACGTGAAGACCCGTGAAGGTCGATGTCAAGTGCCCATTAGGCCAAGTAACCGAGTTACCCACGAACTTATTGCCCGCCATGTGATTCTTTGCGCATTTATTTAGCCAGCCCATCATGCGCTGTTGTGAAAATGGATCTCCATGAGAGCCATTCTATTTGGAGAGCTCGTCGACCATGACTAATTCCCCGTGGAGACAGAGGGAACCGTATTTGTTCATTTGGGGATAAAAAAGTCCTATTTGCAAAAAGGCTAATGGAATCGTACGAAATTATGATTTCACGACTTTGGTGGAGGTTTCAGGGCTCAGTTGCCGAACCCACCTCCATTAGCCGTCCTTTCCCCGAGCATCCTCCTCACATTCCTGAATGGAAGTAAAGACTGTCAGACAGGCGTGAGGGAAGGCTACTACTTCGAAAGACAATTCAAAAGCGCTAGGGATTGTCCTATTTTTCACACCTAAACCTCATTGTGTCTACAGAACCACCTAATCGTCCTTGGAAGGCCCAATCTTTGAGCCCCCTTCCAAAATATCAGCGCCTTAACCATGAATAACCCTTATAAGTTGGTTTTTTCTGCAGTCTGGAGTAGAAAGAATAAGTTCACTGGAGGA